CCCCAGCAGGGGGGGCCTTGGCCGGGGGCCCCGGCAGCTGGGGCAGCGGCTCCGCGCGGGTCCCTCGGCTCAGAGCGTCCCACCTCCAAATCTCCTCTGTAATTATTATTTTTTTAAACCACGACAAGCTGTTCCTTGAAAGGGGGTGGCTGCAGCGGGACAGCAGTACCGGTTGCCATCAGCTGGCGCGCGGAGCCCGTCGCCGGGCCCTGCTGGCCATCCCAGCGGGGATGCTCCCGCGGGAAGGGCACCCCAACGCCCACCAGAAACAAATATTGTGCATAGGCGACAAACCTGGTCCCCGGGCTGGGAAACGGCAGCGTAACCCACCCTGGGGTAAACAAAAGCAACATTAGCCCCTTACATATAAGGGTATTTTCAATGCAAGCTGTGTCCAACTCAAAATACAGCATATGATCCTGTTTCCACTGATAAGTTATTGGATGAATAACTCTCATAACAGAAACCAGTTTCCTGGAAATGTCTGCTTTGGAAAGATAAATGTGAGCGGCAAAAAAAACAAATTTTGCCCAGCGTGCCGCAAGGAAATACTGCACCGCTGCAGCCCATGTGGCTGGGCCCAGAGCGCAACGCGTGGCAGGCGCTTAGCTGTTGCAAACCACCAGCAACACCCCAACTGTAGCTAACGTAAGCCATGAGGATGCCATGTCACCACTATAATAGCAACAGAATACACCAGGACTAGGAATAGCCGCGCTGGGACAGTGGCAGCCTGGATCTCATGCTGGCATGGTGTATGCCAGTCGCTGCACACCGGCTTGGGAGTGGGAGCTGGCATAGTGCATGCCAGCACACTGCGCACTGGCGTGGTGCACACCAGTAGGGTGCACATCAGCATGGTGCACACCACTGTGGTGCACATCAACGTGGTGCACCCCACCATGGTGCACACCACTGTGGTGCACATCAACGTGGTGCACACCAGTGTGGTGCACATCAACGTGGTGCACCCCACCATGGTGCACACCACTGTGGTGCACATCAACG